TCTGAAATGTATCCTCACCAGTTCAACCACAGGAAAAAGGCAGTGTTGGTTCAGTGGCTGTAGGTGTGCAGCCTGACAGAACACCATCATCTGTAGACACCTTTTCGTGACCCAGACTCAGTGTGACTTGGTGCAACAACTTCACCCTTGTCTCTCTGAACACCACTTTGTCCTCCTCCTCTTCCCATCTCTGCATGAGCCTGAAGGATGACTCTGCTTCTCCTCCTTTATCAGCTTATCTAGAAAATATCTGTTCTTCCCCTCTGTCATGTCACCACAGCTACAGTCAAAACAGCACCCTAACCCAAAGACAGCCTGAAAGGATAACTGTGTTACACATCTACAAATAAGCCCAAGCTTCAGCGCCGTGTATTTAACGATAGTGACATATGTCAACAGCACTCTGTCAGATCTCAGTACACATAAGGTACCTGCTTTTTGAGGGTTTTTACTGTTCAAGCACTTCTAAAAACCTCTTCCTTGGCAATCACAGCTCTTCTAATTTGGGGATTTAAAGCTGATTCAAAGCAGAAACACAGAACACGAATGTTTCACTCTGATATTTCACACTTCTCAAAAATCTCCCAGCCTGCTGGTGAGTGGCCCCAAACAGAATAGATACAGATGAGTGCATCAGTGTTCATAAAAGGCTGTTTGGGGGAGAAACCAGGAGGTGGGCTCATACTTATGCCTTTAACAGACTCCAGAAATGACACTATTCCAAACCAAATGGTCTAACTTTGACACTTACAGCACCAAACAACTTGTAAAAGCCTTCTTAGATTCTAAATATTGGGTATATTCTTCACAGGGAAGATGAGCAGCAGAGTCAGACTTTCCAGTGAAAATGTTTTCTCCTGTAATCTTTCCTGAGCTGAGAATTGTAACGAGTGCAAGGAAATTACAAGCTGCTATAAAAATTACAGAGACTAAAACTACCATTTTATCCTGCATTAGAACAATTTTAACATTGTTAGAGGAATACATCTTAGCAATTTTAAAATTATTTGAGTCATGACAGAAAGACTCACAACTGCAATATTTATCTTTCAGATTCATCTTAGGGTGTTCCTGAAGACTTGCGAGATGTCACATTATATAGCATTTTGTGGGGACTGGAGAAAGTCACTTTGACAAGTAAAGCATGTAAATTGGAGCCATTGATTATGGAGGATTTAATTTTATCTATTCTGTATTCATAGTACGATAAATAAAAAAGACTTCAGTGGTCACTGTAGGACTGCAACAACTTCTACAGAAATGCAATTTATAGTTGCATATTTTTTAACTGTGAGCTTTGGCATACATTTGATTAAATTCTGCTTTCCAGAGCACTTAATGAGAATTCTAATTCTCTGGAGATTTCTACAGGCATGACAGGTAAAGAGGAGTCTATCAAGTCATAGCTGTGATTGTTAGTGCAAGGAGCTAGCTCCTTTGAAGAGAAATAAAATTCATAAGCATACATGCATATCTTTTAATATTGCCAAGACAGACATATTGGCAGAGCAATAAATACTACAAAGATTTATTACTCACTCTATTTACCAACATATACAAATCCAAGTGATTCTTGTGAGGTATAACATCTTTCAGGAATGTGCTTGAACAGAGTGGCTCAAGCAACCCATATTTATTTTGGGTTCTGTCAAAGGATTTGGGGTTGATTCAGTCTCTAACATTCAACAAGTCATCCCAGACTTCAAATTAAGTAAGGAGTTTAATATTTTACACCCACTTTTCAGATGGGGACCCAGAAGCATACAGGTGAGAGATCTGCCATGGAAAATAACTGGGCTACCAGCTACCAGCTGGGAGAAGAGTGCAGAGCTTTGAAGCTGCACCCCAAAGCTCAGCCATGAGGTCCCAGTATTACTCTTCAGGTGAGTAGTTTTCCTGCTGCCATTACCATTAGTCCTGGAACTAAACTGGATTCAGACCCCCTCCTCCCCCAAGCATATAAACACACATAATGAACCTTAGTATTTATTATTTCAGTTCTCACTATTTGAAGTTGTTGTTTTTTAACAGTGGCCAATGCTCAGTATCTAATTCTTACACTGGAATTAAAAACAAAAACACAAACATGCACACAAAACAAAAATAAAAATAAAAGGAAGAAGCAAAAAAAAAGCACATGAAAAGAACAGATTAAATATAGCTTGTGCTTATGCTGATTTCCAGAAATAGGTTAATAAACACTGCCTGGATGAAAGGAGCCTCAAGCGTTAAAGAAAGAAATCAGAAGGTCTCACTTAAGTGATTTTTTGGCAGGAATCAAATTAACGAATATAATATGGATTGCTGACAAGGTGCTTGATCATTCTCTGCAGTAAGGATTTTTTTATGTATATATTATATTTATTTATAGATATATATGCATGAGTTTGTGTATGAGTTGATTCCATTAACACTTCATTTGATAATGATAAATGGCATTTTTATTTAAAAGGAAAATATTAAGAAGTCCTGATTTGCAAGAGCAAGTTAGACTATATGCCATTACTGTGACATGCTGCATTTTCGTCTCCTTTAAAAAACACAAGCCGTCAGTACAGGACTTCGCTAGTAGAAAAGTACACAAACATTTTATTTAGTCCATAGGCAATTTTCCTCTAATTCAATCTGCAAATGACATAAAGTTGTTGGGATTTTTTTGTGTGTGTATGTGGGTTTTTTTCTTTTTTAGGAGGAAAGTGGAGGATAAAATGAAAAGAGAGACACAAAAGAGACTTAATGAGATCATGGAACTCTTTCTTAAGCAGTACAGCATCTTAATTTCTGGTAAATTCAAGCAACCTCCATCTGGGGGTTGATTCTGTCAGTCTGTATCTATGTCTGTCTGCCTTTATCCATCTCTCTAGGCATTCCTCGCTGTGGCTTGGGAGCACCACTGAAGGAAACAGGAGCGCTGTATGCAGCGTAGCTGCAGAATCCAGCCCCTGTTTGACAATGATCGGGTCTGACATTGACAAGCACTTATACCCCATTCTCCGGCTCTTTTTGTTCGGCCTTGGATACACGTGTTGTCTGGCAAAAGTTAAAAATAAAACATTTAGGGCTACGCTGTGGTCAGTTCTCATGTGCCTCCGCAGTGCAAGGGGGAGGGAGGGGAGGGTGGAAGCAGCCAGGGCTCAGCCTTCTGCACCACTCGCAGCAAGGTCAGCCAGAGCTGCTGCGAGAGCAGTTGGTGCCACCCACAGCACAGGGCTCCCCATGAAAGATGTTTCCCTCTCAGAAGTAAATCACCTGAAAGGTCTAAGGGACGCTAAGGCATTGCCCCCAGTGAGTCAGGCAGCAGATTTAGCTGGCCACACCCCGATGCAACCAGCCCCTGAGCCTCAGGGCTCTCTGAAAATTTTCCATTGAAACTTTCATGGGAAGTATCTGATTTCCTTGAAAATGTCAGCATGTTTTCATTTCATTCTGCTAGACAAATTGAATAAGGGAAATGGAAGAGATATGAGCAGAAACCCAGAAAACGTAATGGCTGGGGGAAGGGAAGGCATTCAATTTGTCAATGAGAAACCAATATTTTCAGCTAAACATTTTGGATTAAAGTAACGACTAGTCAACCAAACACCTGGGGAAACCCACCTCTTATTTGTGAGCAGCTCCATTTCAGCTCGTTATGGAGTACAGCTGATTGCTTCCCTTTGCTTCTCAGTGCGAAGGGAATAGGTAAAACATTCTTCCTCAGATCCCAAATTTGCTAGGGCTGGAGAATCTCCTTGCCACCCTAGTCTGCTTGCTAAAGCTGCAGAATTGTCATAATCCTGCTCTGGATCAGAGGTTTATATGGGGTTAAAAGCTGAAATGGTTTTGTATTAATGTGGAATCAGAATGAACGGGAACAGCCCACTGAGCCACGGAGCAGCTACAGCATGCAGACATGCTGCTGAATCCCTCGGACAAACCCATTTCCATCACTGAATTAGTCAGAGGGGTTCTCGCCACTGCTCCTGTTGAAGGCTCTTCCAGAAACTCGTATCTTTCATTAATAACCCTTCTCTAAAATACAGGGTAAATTACTGATGAGCAGTTTGCACTTCGTTTATGTAACAATATTGTCAAAGCTTAAAATGTTCCTCTTCACTCCTGTCATGTTTATGGCTGTTTCTTTGAAGCCTTCAGTACGCTGAGTGAACACATCAAACTACTCACCTTTCTAGGATGAATTTCTTTCAAACACAGGTGGTCACAGGTAGTCACCATATTCCTGCAGAAGTCTTACCAAAGCTTTCTTCGGGTCATTAATTCTTCCCTATCTCAACTAGAAATCCTTCTTTTGAAATAGTGCCAAAATATATGCCCAATTCTCCTGTATCAGTCCCACCGACAAGCCTTACCTTATATTTAGATGTAGAACTTAGGGATATGGTTTAGTGGGGACTGTTAGTGTTAGGTCAGAGGTTGGACTCGATGATCTTGAGGTCTCTTCCAACCTAGAGATTCTGTGATTCTGTGATATTAGAAATTGTCATTAGTCCCAAGCTACGTGACCTTGCTACTTGAACCGTTGAATGTAATCCCATTTATATTTCCCCAATCCTTTAGGATATTCTATTTTTCTGTATGCTCTGAGCCTCCTTGCTATTGACAATCCCTCCCAACTTCAGCCATCAGCACATTTCTCTAGCAGGTTCTTATTCTTTTTGTGCCTAGTTGATTAATGAAAATATTAACGGATATAGGTCCCCAGACTGTGCCTTCAGAAACTCCATTTTTATCTCCCTCTAACTTGGTATTTCTTCTTTCAGCATCATCTGTTATCTGCTTTAGCCAGTTCCTACCCATTTTACAACTCTAGGCCTAATCTTCATCTTTTCCAGTCAAATGATTCTCCGTGTAGCTCTGTGTCAGATGCTTCTCTCACAGCGTACATACATCACATCTATTGCCATTTTATTTGTCTAAAAAGATCAGGATAATCTAAAGAAAGATTATCAAGATAATCCAGTAAATCTGCTTTTGGTAAACCGATACTGTGTTATCCCACGTCTTCCATTTGCTGTGTTTTCTGTTGCTCTTCTTTCCAAAATCACTGCAATGCCTTGCATGCTACTGATGTCACGCTAATATGCCTATGCTTAACTAGATGACAGTTTTCTCCTATCTTAAATATAGGAATCATGTCTGAAATTTCGCATACCACTCCCACTTTAACATATTCCTAAATATCCTTCAAGTAGAAATGCAGTTTCAAATGCCAATTCCTTCAGACTACAGTGACGCAGATCCCCTGAAACAGCACTCCTTGATTTTGATTTTTACTTCTACCTCAAAAGGCATCATTTCCATCCTTCCAAATTCACTCCCATAAAGCCAATTTTCTCCCATCCAAGTTCAGAGTCATTGTCCAAATTGAACACTGAGGCACAAAATCATCTAATTTTTTGAAAGCATTTATGCTATCCTTAAACTCATCCTCCCTCTACCCAATGACACGGTGACTTTCCTCGCTCTTATCTAGTTTTCATGGCTAAAAAACCCTACTGTTTGTTTCAACTTCTTTTGCAAGTTCTAAGGTGGCATCGATTCTCATTTTACCTCTGCAGTTTGGGATCTTACGCTTCCTCTCAACCAATGTATTTCCACTTCTGGAAGACTCTGCCATTTTGAAATTTCAGAATTTTCTTCCAGTAGAAATACCTGCAATGGAACAATATCAGAAGAACATTTATTCTAAAGCATTGCCAAAATTTGTTATTACCCATTATACGGTATAACGCAATTTCTTTATACTTACTGACTTCAATAGTGCCTTATATTTGAAAGTGTTGCTTCACAGATTCAGTACAGTAGATTTACTGAAGCCTAACATGCATGTCTGATTGGAAAGCAAACTTCTAACCCTGTAAGCAGTTGATATCGCGGATTCTGCATGGCCCACCCGCTATGCATATTGATTGGGCAAAAATGTAACCGTGCAAAGTGTAGCTGCAGCTGGAAATGTCCCTCAATCAAAACAAAGCTACTGGATCCAGATTTAATCTTTCTCTGACTCTGTATCAACTTTGCAAGTCAAAAGAGGGTTTCTCTAATTGTCACCTTTGAAAGCTCACTTTCAGATCTGCAGTCAAACTCAGCCTTTATTTTCTTCTCCCTAATCACCAGCACCACAGACTGTATAATTAGCAAGTGAATGACAATTTAGGACCTGCTGCAAAGCCCAAAGAGTGAGTTCATTTGATGATCAGGCCTTTTAATTGAAACTGCAGAAGGGATATGGCAATCCATCCCCTTCTCCATAGCAATTTTGATTTTGTAAGGCTTTGAGCATACAAGTATATTATGGGGTTGACTGAAGGAAAAACAACACTTTAAAATATACACTTGTCAAAGATTCAAGTTAAACCATGAGGCTGTGCATTTGTAAAGCCCTTCTTCCAGTCATCCTTAGAAAGGTGCGAAGTTCTGGAGCATTACAGGTTTTCAGATCCCATGAATTCCCAGTTTATTTGTATCACAACAAAAGCAAGACCTAAAAACTTTCAAGTGGTCTTAACTGCAGTACAGATGTTGTTTCATGGGAAAACTAATGTATTTCTAATATAGCTGTTCGTAATACTAATTCATTCTATTCCTGATATTAAGTATATATTAGATATGCTCTGGGGTGACGTATCATTTGCCACTCATTCTTCTGGACTATATATGACAAAAGCATCCTATTACACCTGTACTAGAGGGAAAAGCACTTGTCTTAAGCTTCTACTTAAATGCAAATCCACCTCTGAACTCTATCACATGTTAAACCGAGGATTAAATGCTGTGACAAATCAGGGTCTAAATTCCAAATTCTATTTAAAAAGTAAGAGTGTGGCTATTGTGGTCTGTAGTGTCACAGACTATATGGCACAGCTCTTCACAGTTATCTCCCCCAGTAGTTTCTATATGAGTATTGGTGTCACAATAAACTCACCTTTAGGTATAACTATATTATCTTGGTGTAGCATTTTCATATTTGTATAGTATACGGGAATACCTGTGTAATTCAATTTTGTACACACAGATGATACCTGACTGTAACTGTTAGTACCAATTGGAAGATAAGCATCATACCCAGGTTTCGTATACAGGAATTCAAACTTACGGGATAAATGATTTACTTTATGATGTAATCAAGATATAGCTGCCAAGTCAAAACCAAGTTCATCCTCAGCCTCATGCGTGTGGTCAACTCATGTCAATACAATGTATTTAACTCATTTTAAAACTTTAACCAAAGTCCTACCCCCTTGGAACTTTAGATTGTAGATTATCTGCACAGTAGATATTAATTAACATATTAAATATTAACATATTAAATCATAATTTCAAGTATCTTACAAGTAGTATATAGCAATATCCCTGCTTTGGTACCACTGAAAAGGCTATTCCTGTCTTAACATGTAGAAAAGATTATTAATGTCCTGTATCCCTGGTCCCACGGTATTGATTTGCTGCTCCAGTTCACAGGAATATGTTACTAAGGTAAGTGACTTATCTCTTTCCTTATTGAAGTATTCTCTAGGTGAAGAAATGTGGCTTTCCTATACTGATAAATATCTTGTTTCCATTAGCAAGATGGCAAAAAATAATACATTATCCCCTGCTTTGACATTTCAAATAAACCTGTTTGTTTTGTTCATTGGCTCAGAAAGTGGAACTTTTATTCAGATAACCAGAAGGCCATATATATAATGAACTGAATATTTTTAAACTACAAAATACTGCTTGGATAATGCAAGTTTCAGCAATAAGTTTTTTTTTCTGTCATGGATTTTGCTTTGATTCTCATCTTCTGTTTCATTTAGAATTCCCAGCCCTTCATTATTAAATTATAGCCTAAAAACTATTAAAATTTACCAGTTAGAACTGACAGATACTTTTTCAAAGTGAAAAGATAAGTGTTGATTTATTACAAAAAATATTCACATCCCTACCCTTCACACGTAACCAGCATCTGCCCAGCTTACTCAGAGTAGCTGCTGAATTTACCAGCCCATGCTCCCCCATGACTGTGGATACTGTGAGGTGTCATTGCAATGCACTTGTCAACGAGACAAATGCAGCTTCAGGGTGTATCCAGGAAGGTATTTCCAAATGCAAAGAATTAACGCCATGGCACAAGGAACTCCTATCACCTCCTCTCAAATATTATGAGTAATTCTGGTCCTCTGATTCAAGAATGGAAAACTCAAACAAGTGCAAACAACAGGGACAGGATGGATTAGGGGGGAAATCGAGGAAGAGAGGGGAAATGACTGCAGTCAATGATTAGTTTAACATTAGAAGCACCTTAGAAAGAACAAAAATCTGTGCTACAGGTCAACGTTGCCACTAAAGCAAAAAGTATAAATGGGATAAATTTAGGCTAGATATTAGAAGGTTTCCAATCAGAAGAGCAGAGACGTTCCAGAACAACCTTCCAGTAAGAGTAGTGGGGAAATAAAATCCAACTGCTTGTAAAATGGAGCTTAATATAAATGTACAGGATTATATGATTTGAGCACCAGTAACAACAGGGGATTGAACTTCCTGCCTGTTTCCATTGTGAATTAACAAAGCAACAATCAGACTTTTACTTGAACTCCGTTATCAATAACAATGTGTAATTTTATGTGGTTTATGTATTGCTAGAGCTGAAGGCCTCTTCCAAACTCGACAAAATACATGCAATGAACACAAAAGCTGCTAACAAGCTGGTGAGTTTTAAAATGTGGTAAAAGTGGAATATGTTAAGGGGAATGAGGTGGTAAGCAACTCAACAACAGCTCAGCCCAGGTGCAAGTTACAGCAGGTCCAAACTTGGGGGGAAAGCAGTAACATCAACTACTGCAAAGCAAAATGCTTTCGTGGAGGGGAAGAGATGGCTCCCAATTCAAAGAGAGCAAAGAAAACTATCTTCACACGTCTGTTGTCAACCACTATGTTTAGTGTAAATGGAAAAAAAAGAATCTAGAGGAAGGTCACTTCTTGAGCCATACCTGTGTGGGAAATAGAATTTTCCTCTCGTTTCAGAGAGGCATTACAGTACTCCACAATGCCCAACAAGTACAGTCAGAGCAGTGAGCCAAATCCCAGCAAAATTGTCATCTATAAGATTGTTATTAATGAATTATTTTGAGAGAATCCACTAGGACAAAAGAAAATCCATATATAAAAACTATTTCTTATGCCAGGCATGAATTTTCTAACTAAAGGTGACAATCCTCATACTCCACTAAAGGTGCACAGAAGTAATAAATCCAGTATTAAATAATAAGTTCACTATGCCTTTGGCTATACAACAGTTTCAGATGGATTTCTTTTCCACATTATAACCAGTCACTGATATGTATTCTTTAGATCTCTAATGATAGCACAGAGTTAAATTTAGGAAATATAAGGAGTAGTTCTTTGTGATACTTTTTTTGACTAGAAACAGACCATAAAGGAACTTATATTTCATTGTGACAATGTTTTCCTATCATTTCACTCGAATTATCATTCATGTACAGTATTTATTTTTAATTTAAAATTAAAACACTGAATAATTAAGTACCATAGAGAATACTAATGTGTGGAACAAAGTGGGACAAATAGACTCTGTCTACAAGATTTCTATGATCCTCTCCCCATTAACATAAGCATGAGTTCTACTGGGTATTTACATATTAGATTTGGCAAGCAATAATACAATGAGAAGTAATTTCTGCATTAATATTTTCTCTTTCAAATAAGACAAGTTCCTGAACTTGTCAAACATAAATGCAAAATTATGAAAAACAATCTTAAGCAAAAACTCTTGTTATTAAAATGCATGGCAACTAATTATTGATCTGATGCTATTCTGCATAAAGAAGACATGCTTGACTGAACAGAAATATTTTTAAATCATTAATATACATGTGTTTATTTTACTGAGTCTAAATTGGAAGTGGTAGATTATTCTTATTGTCTAACAAATTAGGAAGTGTGACAATATGCTGTACCGTACTGATGTATGATATCTTTCTCCTTAGACTTATTAATTTCTGTCAAATTAAAACCAAAACACTACTGGAAATCTTGAACAGCCATAATATGAAAATCAAATGTGAATTGCTATTAGAAAAGCCATAGTACCTTAGATTGCTCCAGGCAAACACACAGAGATACAATACTAAACACTGTCTTTGTATAAGAAAGGAGAGGAAAAAATCTCTTATGGGACGTGCTGCCAGTTGAAGCTGAAGCCCTGTCAAAACTGCAGTTCTTCTGTGGGAACATGGTGAAATCGAAAATCTTTGTGCAGCTGGGGTTTCTCTTCCCTTCAGTTTTCCACTTAAAACAAAAACCTAAGTGAAAATCAGTTCACAGCAGATTTGCCAATGCATCATTTCACTCTAAGGACAGATTAATAATTTCTGAACTTATTTCAACGGAATTTCATGGCCAAGATATTCTGTAATTGTACACCTCCTCACAATGACCTTTGTACTATACTTATTTTACAAAATATCACTGGCAACATTTTTTCCATTCCAACAAGCTTCAGAATACATATATCTTGATATTACTCTGGAATTATTATGGTGTAGAGTGCTCTGTAAATAATCAATGACGTGCCTCATTCACTGTAAAATTCTGAAGAGCATAATACTGAAGACTGTTCATCTTTAATGCACTTTGTACAAGTCAAAGTT